CCCCGCCGCCCCGGCGCCGCCCCCTGCTCGCGCCCGGCCAGGGACCGGCGCTCTGTTCCGTTCTCGGGCTCTGCCGCAAAAGCCGGCCGCGGCGATGCTCTCTGGAGGGTGGACCCGCCTCAGCCCCTCACGGGGCCCGAGGAACTTCCCAGCACAGAACCCCCGTGCTTCTGAGCTCTGGGGTGATGCACGTCAAGAACCCAACCATTTCCTTGGGAGAAGCACCGCTTGGCGTGTTGCCTGCGCCCTTCAGCAGAGGGCTGGCTACTCCGCCCCCACCTAAGGTGACCCCGCCTACTCTGCGGGAGGCTTTCCCTGAGGTGAAAGGAAGTGTCCCTTACTAGTGCTAGCTGCGGAGTCTTGTAGACAAATGAACCTGAGGGCCTCGCTGGCCAGACCCTCTCTAGAGACCCTTGAACTCAACTCGGCGGTAACCAGAAAGGACCAGCTTTGGGATTCATCAGAATGAGTTCAAATCCTAGTTTCACTGCTTACCAACTGAGTGAACTTGGCCGAGGAATGTGACTACCCACAATTAACTCATTGGTTACTATACTGATAGAATGAGATAATACACGATTCCAGGCTTAGTTCTGGCTCGTGGTGAACAAAGAGCAGTAGTTGTTGTGTAGACTCCCATTACTGCACTTCACCACAAGAAGAGCCATCCAAGACAGACAGCCCACTACGTCCAGAACATTGAATTCCTTAGTCTGGGCAGCTCTGGAGTTCCATCTCAAAGACCAAGTTCTAGCCCTGGAGGCCTTTGAGAACAAACTGACCTCATGGCTCGTGGAGCCCGGACTTTGCCCAAAGGCTTCTCTGAGTTGGGGATACTTGATCTCTTCCATTGTTTTTTTTTTATTTTATTTTATTTTTTTTTTTTCCTCTATCCTAATTCTGAGGATCTGTCTTTCTCCTCAGGCACTTGGCTGATTTGATTGTGAGACCTTTAAACGGCATCGTCCAAAGTTTCTGTAAGGACACCATAATCAAGCAGGACTGTGGCTTCCACTTTGTAACAGAGCCTGTGTTTGTGCAGTAAAGTTCTTGGTGCATACTGAGTGTGGTGGCTTGGCTGCAGTCCTAGCTACTGGAGAGATGGGACCCAGGCATGAGGATTGCCAGAGCTCATTATGATGCTAACCTGAGCAACATAATGAAAGAAAGAAAAAAGAAGAGGGAGAAAGGAAGCAAAGGAGCCAGAGGGAAAAAGGGAGGAAAGCAAGGGGGAAAGAGAAGAAAAGGAAAAGAGACGTTCTTGGCAGACACACTTCTGACTCATATTCAACTTTCAGTCAACTTGAACAGCCAAGTCCTTTTGGTAAGGGTTCCACTACGGCTTTCACCTACCCCTCCTGGGTTTTTCACACTGGACTAGGTCAGCTGAGGATAAACCCTGGACCTTTCACCTACTAGACTGTTCAAAGTGGAAAATGATATAAAGCAGTTTGTAGTTAGTTTAACACCACCTTTAAAACAAGTATATCTTTTCATAAAGCTTGGTTTTATAGGCGTGGGGTGGTGGCACACACATAAGGCAGAGGCTGGTGGATCTCTGAAGACAAGGCCAGCCTGCTATACAGAGCAAATTCCGGACCAACCAGAACTACAAAATAAGCCCCTGTCTCAAAATAAATAAGTAAAAAATGTCCAGTTTTGTGGCAAAAGACTAGTACTTAGCTATCTACACGTGTAATGTGATCAGGAGACACGACGAAGCAGAGTACACACAAGACTACAAAGAAGTCTGTAACAACCAGGTACGTTAACAATGGTTTTCTTTTGTGACGAGAGTTTAGGTGTTCTTTTAAAGTATTATTTTTCCTTTTTCTGTTTATTTATTGGAATCTTTAACACAGGTTAGATTCAAACTCATGGGAATCCTCCTGCTTTAGCTGGAATTATAAGCATAAGCCACCATGTTTGGCTTTTCTTTATACTTCATGAATTTTCCTACATTGTGTTACTTTTATAATAAAGAACTCTAGGAGGTTGGGGTGATATTACTGCTAAAGCATGAGGACCTGAGTTTGGCTCTCCAGCACCCACATAAAGCAGGCTAGCTGTGTGTGCCTATAATCCCAAGGCCAAGAGGTGGAAACAAGAGAATGCCCTGGGCTCCCTGCCAGCCAGTCTACCAATAAGTTAGGCCAGATTCAGTGAGAGACCCTATCTCAAAATATTTGGTGGGAGGGGCTAAAGAGATGGCTCAGCAGTTAGAGCACTGACTGCCCTTCCCGTTACGACTGTAACTCCAGTTTCAGGGGATTTGACGGACCCTTCTGGCCTCCCCTGTCATTGTGTGCATGTGCTACAAGGCACAACACCCATACACATTTAAGAAACTTTCTTTTAATTGGTGGAGGGCCTGGAGAGATGGTTCAGCAGTTAAGAGCACTTGCTACTCTTCTAGAGGACCCAGGTTCGGTTCTCAGGATCTACATGGCAGCTGCGTACAGGTTAACACATTTTTTTTAGTTATGTAAACACCCACACATTTACATAAACTCACATGTGCATAAATGGATGTGCACACACACACACACACACACACACACAGGTCTGCACACCTATACACTTACATACACACACAGGTCTATACACCCACACACTTAAACATACATATGTTGTTGCATATGTAAGTACTTGAATACTGTGTGTATATACTAGAAAATATAAAGTGTGTGTGTGTGTGTGTGTGTGTGTGTGTGTGTGTGTGTGTGTGTGTTTATGGTATTTTGGTGTTTCAAGACAGGGTTTCTCTGCAGCCCTTGCTGTCCTGGAACTCACTCTGTAAACCAGGTTGGCCTTGAACTCCGAGATCTGCCTGCCTCTGCCTCCCGAGTGCTGTGATCAAAGGAATGCTCCACCACTGCCTGGCTATAAAGTATATTTTATATTAAAAGTATATAAAATGGGCCAGGCAGGGCCAGGCCTAGTGGCACACGCCTTTAATCCCAGCTCTTGGGAGGCAGAGGCAGATGTATCTCTGTGAGTTTAAGGCCAGCCTGATCTACATTGCAAGTTCCAGGACAGCCAGGGCTACACAGAGAAGCCCTGTCTTGAAAAAACAAAACCACGACAAACAAACAAAATATATAAATTGTAATGGCTGGAGAGATGGCTCAGTGATTAAGTGCACTGGATGCTTTTCCAGAGGACCCAGGTTTGAATCCCAGTACCCACATAGCTGGTCACAAGCATCTCCAGTTCCAGGAGATCCACCTCCCTCTTTTCCTAGGACACTCATGCAGTATACAGACATATATGCAAGCAAAACACCCCTACATATAAAAAATAATGAAAATAATTTTAAAATTAAAATATAAATATAAGTTTAGAGTCAGCCTCAATGCTTACTGAAGGGGCATAACTAAATAAAATGTAGAATATTCATATAAAGGTATTCTGTGGAGAATTTAAAAGAGATCTTGATCTATATGTACTAACATAAAGGAAAGCATTTAGTTGGGGCTGGCTTACAGTTCAGAGGTTTAGCCCATTATCATCATGGTGGGAAGCATGGTAGCATGCAGACTGACATGGTGCTGGAGAGGTTCTGTATCCAAATCAGCAGGCAGCAGGGAGAGAGTGAGCCACTGGGTCTGGTTTGAACTTCTGAAACCTCAAAGCCCACCCTCAGTGACACACTTCCTCCAACAAGGCCACACCTACTCTAACAAGGCCACATGTCCTAATCCTTTCAAATAATGCCATTTCCTAGGAGCTATGGGGCCCATTTTTATTCCAACCACCACACCACACCATCTGATCAGCATCATTTTAACACAAAGCACAATAAGCTTTGATTCATCCAAACTGTGAGCAGCATCCACAGCTCATTTTGGTAGTTTTCCTGCTTCTTGCCAGAAACTTTCTTCCAAAAGTACATCACGTACTGACCTTGTGCCTAACTAATCCTGATCAATACAGGTGTGAATGCTTGCTTTCACAGAATCTGCTGACAATCTGGAAGATGAACTTGGAATACGCCCATCAGGCTGAGACACAGCTCAGTTGGTAAAGTGTTACCTAGTACTCACAAATCTCCAGCACCACACAAAACTGGGCAGCACCAGCTTGCTGCCAACCCTGCCAACCTGGTGGAAGGAGAGAACCAACTACACAAAGTAGTCATCAGAACTCCACGTTCATATAAACAAATAAATATTAAATGTTCAGGGGTATGCTTGGTGGTGCACACCTGTAATCTCAGCACTCAAGAGGTAGAACAGGAAGATCAGAAGTTCAAAGCCATTCTCAACTACAAATCTAGCATGTGCAAAGCCCTAGGTTCAATCCTCCACATTATAATACAACAACAAAAGTATCAAAAAAATAAAAAAACAAAACAAAACAAAAAAACAGTCCCAGAAGGAGGCAAATCCACGCACCGTTGATGACCTGGAGTCCTCCCTTCAGTACACCGGAGAAGAACTCAAAGGATAAGAGACAGGAGTGGCAGGAATCAGACTCACAATTTAAATGTTATTCACCAGCCAATGACCTCATGAAGTTACAAAAGTAACTCATTTGAATCAGGTAAAAATCTGTTGGAAGCTTCGACTGGATATTTACAACTGTTAGCAAAATTATTTTATTTCTTGAACATTCACAAGCAGAAGACTCTAGAGATTCAAATTTAACTTCTACCCACAGCCTGTCTCAGAGTTGCTACACACTATTTAGGAGATGAGCTATTTGAGTAAAGCCTGAAGCAGGGTCAATATTAGGTCTCAAATATTAGGCCTATGCCAGATTAATGACCCCAACGTGCTTCAGAATTTCAGAGAGACAGATTATTTTATTTGCTTGCTTATTTTGTAGGACTGTGAGTTGAATTAAGGGTCTGGTGCATGCTAGGCAAGCATTCTACTCCTGACCAATATCCTCACACACCCTAGAATGCCGCCCTGTTGAGACAGGGTTTCCATGAGTTACCCAAGCTGGTATTGAGTCTGCTCCCTTCCTGTCTTAGCTTTCCAAGTGGCTGCGAATAAAGAGCTGAGCCACAAGACCCAGGAGGAGTCCTGAAGACACAGGAGGATTAGGATCAAACAGATAGTCTGTCAGGAGCATGCCGGCTCATACTTCTAATCCTGAGGCAAGAGAACTGCTGTGAGTTCAAGGCCAGCTCGGGCTACACACAGGAAAGACTCTGTCTCAAAAACCAAGAATGGCAGGGAGCGATCCCATCATTCCATGCTATAACAACAACAACAAAAAGTGGAAGTGCTAATAAGTGTGGATAAACCTGAATCCTTACACTTAGGAGCTGGGGATGGGAATGTGAAAAGATAACAAATTGCAGTGCAAAACACATCAGCAGGGTTGTTGTTTAAGTTAAACATAGAATTACCTATGATCTAATAATCCCATTTCCAGATAGTCAAGTGTCCATTAACATAGGAATGGATTGAAAAATGGTATAGACATACAACTTTTCAAACTTGGATACCTGCTACAAACTGGATGATAAATTGAGTGTGGTGGCACACACCTATAAACCTGGTACCTGGGAGATGGGAGCAGAGGGTCAAGCATCCTTAGCTAGACAGTATACTCGAGGCATATATGAGATGCTGTCTGAAGAAAATAAAAATTTAAAAAAAAATTGAGCTGGGTATGCTGGCACAAGCTTATAATTACAACATTTGGGAAGCTGAGGAGATTGTAGGTTCAAGGCCAGCGTGTGATATACAGTTATATCATCTCAGAAAAACAAAACAAAAAAAAAAAAAGATTAAGTTTTGATAGGCCTTATATGGACCTAAAAACATCACAAAAAGGGAAAAAGACACAGACACAAAAGGTCAAATGTTACACTGAGGCAGGATAAAATGACAAGAAAAGTTAGGGGACATGAGGAAGGAGAGAAGTCTTTACTCCAGAACTTTCCAAGACCTTCCACCCACACCTTGCTGCAGAATGTCTTGATATCATCAGACAGGTTGTGAATCAGAACCTTCAGTACAAACAATAAAATCCAAGCTGCCCACAGGGATGATGGCTGTTTCATAAGGACACCTCAAACAGCAACATCTGACCAACAAATGAATGAGGAACACTCGGGGCACGAATGCTGAGACCCTGAGTTTAGCTGGGTCGGGGCTCCTGTCTCACTGATAAATCAACGCAATACACCTTATAAAACTACAATTTCATTTACAGGGAAAATTTTTGTTGTTTTGTTCTGAGACAGGACCTTATGCTGGAGAAATGGCTAAGTGATTAAGAGTGCATGCCATACTTCCAGAGGACCCAGGTTTGATTCCCAGAAGCCACATGGCTGCTCACCATTGTATCGCCAGTTCCAGGGGACCTGACAACATCTTCTGGGCTCCAAGATCACCAGGCACATATATGGTACACAGGTATACAGGCAAGTGAACACTCATAAATATAGAATAAAAACACATCTTTTTAAAACAAATTTCACGAATCCCGGCTGGCCCTGAACTATTTACCTATGCAGTCAAGGATGATCATCCTGCCTCCATCGCCAGTGCTGGGATTATAGGCATGTGACACCACGACTAGTTTATGTAGGTAATGAAGATGGAGACCAGGCATTGCGGATGCAAGGCAAGCACTCTACCAACTGATTAACATCTCCAGTCCCTGAGAAAATTCTTCAACGTTAAAAGAAAAAAGCTGGGCGGTGGTGGCACATGCCTTTAATTCCAGTACTCAAGAGGCAGAGCCAGGCAGATCTGTGAGTTCAGGCCAGCCTGGTCTACAGAGTGAGATCCAGGACAGACACCAAAACTACACAGAGAAACCCTGTCTCGAAAAACTAGATAGATAGATAGATAGATAGATAGATAGATAGATAGATAGATAGATAGGGAGGGAGGTAGGTAGGTAGGTAGATAGATGATAGATAGATAGATAGATAGATAGATAGATAGATAGATAGATAGATAGATAGATAGGTAGATAAGTAGATAGATAGATAGATAGATAGATAGATAGATAGATAGACAGACAGACAGACAGACAGACAGACAGACAGACAGACAGACAGACAGATAGATAGAGGTGGTGGCATTCACCTATAATCCTGGAACTTGGGAGACAAAGGCAGAGATCCTGCTGTAAGTTTGAGGCCAGCTTGTGCTATGTTGAGAGTTCACAGTAAAATGCTGTCTCAAAAAACAAGACAAAAGGCTAAAGTAAATAAAGCATCTCATGTGTTTTTACTTAATTTTTAAATGTTGCCTAATATTTAAGTGATTAAATATTTATTTTGTATTTATGTTTGTGGGGACACATGTGCCCCCAAGAGGGCCTGAACTTAGGTCATCAGGCTTGGTGGTAAGCACCTTTACAAGCTGAGCCATTTCGATGGCCCAGACTTTATTTAATTTTTGAAATGCAGTTGTTACTTATATCTTTGAAGCAACATAACCACATACACCATAAAATCACATGTTTAGCTACTGTCAAAACATGGATTCTACTCTCCCTGTATCCTGTTCCTGAGAGTCTCTTTTAAGTCTCTAAGTTTAAATCTGAAGCATGTACCTACATGCTATCAAGGACATCTTTATCTACATATTGAATTCAAGGCTAGCCTGAGCTATAAGAGATTCAGTTTCAAAACACAAAACCAAAAAGAATTAACTTTCGAAGAAGGAATCAAATACACTATAGAATGTACAGAATGTATCTCATCCATGTTCACCCACAGCACCCTGTCCCGAGGTTCCTGCAATGTTTTCTCTATGAAGAGTTCCACTTTCTGGCTCCCATCCTAACACCTTATCCAATCAAGCAGAACTCCCCACTTCCTTTTTTTGTTTTGTTTTGTTTCCTGAGACAGGGTCTTGCTTTACAGCCTCAGATGACCTGGAACTCACTAGGTAGCCTAGATTAGCCTCAATCTCACAGCAATCCTCCTGCCTTGGCCTCTGGAGTACTGGAATTATCAGCATGAGGCACAGGGCCCTCCTACCCTTACTTTTTTCCCCATGTCAGATGTACTTCCTTTCTCTCCCTTAACTTGCCACAGGAACAACAAAGGAAGTATTTACATGACTTTAGTACCTTCCCTTTAATATGCTCTAATTCAAACAGGGAGAATTTCCATTTTATCTTACCAACTAAGAGATACACAGCTCTTAACCTAGGGTCTGACATATTAGAGACTACATATATATGTATATGTATGTATATGTGTATGTGTGTGTGTATATATGCACATTAAAATTTATCTTATGTGTATAAATGTTTTGCCTGCGTTGCATGATGCACGCCACATGTGTGCCTGTTGTATCTCCTGGAACTGGGGTTAGAGATGGTTGTGAGTCCTGGAAATGTGGGTCCTGGAACTAAAATCTGGGTCCTCTACAAGAGCAACAGGTGCTCTTAACCACTAAGCCATCTCTTCAGTCTCGAATATTTTATTTTTGAGGCAATATCTCACATATACCTGTCTTCAAACTCACTATATAGCTGAGAAGCACCTTAAACTTCTCATCTTTCTCTACCTCCTGAATGTGTACATACATTTTAAATCAATTGATTAATAACTAAATGTATACTGACCTTATGAGAATATTTTAATGCCTATTGATTTTATATGCACACATACACTTTGTGAATATATGTGTGTGTGTGTGTGTGTGTGTGTGTGTGTGTGTGTGTGTGTGCAGGCAAAACATTTACATAAGGTAAATAAATCTAAAAAAATTAACGTGCATATATGTATGTATACACACATATCCTTTCTATCCTTCCTCCCTTTTAAATAAATATCCTAAGTCAGTTTTAATTTCAACATGGCATAACCAAGTGTCAAATAAAAAGGGAGTCAGCTGGGCATGGTGGCACAAATCTTTAATCCCAACATAGAGTGTGTGTGTGTGTGTGTATGTGTGTGTGTGTGTGTGTGTGTGTGTGTGTGTGTGTGTGT